TGATATCGACAATTTAAAAAAAAAGGCAATCTCAAAATGACCGAAATTGTGTGAAAAAATTTCCAGATCCTTGGTAATAAGTATTGTGTATAAGTTTAATAACATTTGGTTGAGGCAAACTTAAGTTTGAGAACGGAAACTAAAAATTCAGCAATTTTTCTTTTGTAAAGGGGCATAACTCTAGAACAGTTAAAGTGACACCACCAAAATTCCAACTTGATCTGTATTTTGTGGTAATAAGCATTGCATATAAGTTTCATAACATTTGGTTGAGGCAAACTAAAGTTAGAGAACAGAAACGAAAAATTCAGCAATTTTTCCATTTGTAAAGGGGGATAACTCTAGAACATTGAAAGTGACACCACCAAAATTCCAAATTGATCTGTATTTTGTGGTAATAAGCATTGTGTATAAGTTTCATAATATTTAGTTGAGGCAAACTAAAGTTAGAGAACAGAAACTAAAAATTCAGCAATTTTTCCATTTGTAAAGGGGGATAACTCTAGAACGGGTTAATTGACACCATCAAAATTCAAACTTGATCTGTATTTTGTGATAATAAGCATTCTGTATAATTTTCATAACATTCGGTTGAGGCAAACTTAAGTTTGAGAACGGAAACAAAAAATTCAGCAATTTTTCCTTTTGTAAAGGGGGATAACTCTAGAACGTTTAAAGTGACACCACCAAAATTCCAAATTGATCTGTATTTTGTGGTAATAAGCATTGTATATAAGTTTCATAACATTTGGTTGAGGCAAACTAAAGTTAGAGAACAGAAACGAAAAATTCAGCAATTTTTCCATTTGTAAAGGGGGATAACTCTAGAACGTTTAAAGTAACACCACCAAAATTCCAAATTGATCTGTATTTTGTGGTAATAAGCATTGTGTATAAGTTTCATAACATTTGGTTGAGGCAAACTAAAGTTAGAGAACAGAAACGAAAAATTCAGCAATTTTTCCATTTGTAAAGGGGGATAACTCTAGAACATTGAAAGTGACACCACCAAAATTCCAAATTGATCTGTATTTTGTGGTAATAAGCATTGTGTATAAGTTTCATAATATTTAGTTGAGGCAAACTAAAGTTAGAGAACAGAAACTAAAAATTCAGCAATTTTTCCATTTGTAAAGGGGGATAACTCTAGAACGGGTTAATTGACACCATCAAAATTCAAACTTGATCTGTATTTTGTGATAATAAGCATTCTGTATAATTTTCATAACATTCGGTTGAGGCAAACTTAAGTTTGAGAACGGAAACAAAAAATTCAGCAATTTTTCCTTTTGTAAAGGGGGATAACTCTAGAACGTTTAAAGTGACACCACCAAAATTCCAAATTGATCTGTATTTTGTGGTAATAAGCATTGTATATAAGTTTCATAACATTTGGTTGAGGCAAACTAAAGTTAGAGAACAGAAACGAAAAATTCAGCAATTTTTCCATTTGTAAAGGGGGATAACTCTACAACGGGTTAATTGTCACCATCTTAATTCAAACTTGATCTGTATTTTGTGGTAATAAGCATTGTGTTAGTTTCATAACATTTGGTTGAGGCAAACTAAAGTTAGAGAACAGAAACGAAAAATTCAGCAATTTTTCCATTTGTAAAGGGGGATAACTCTAGAACGGGTTAATTGACACCATCAAAATTCAAACTTGATCTGTATTTTGTGGTAATAAGCATTGTATATAAGTTTCATAACATTTGGTTGAGGCAAACTAAAGTTAGAGAACAGAAACGAAAAATTCAGCAATTTTTCCATTTGTAAAGGGGGATAACTCTAGAACGTTTAAAGTAACACCACCAAAATTCCAAATTGATCTGTATTTTGTGGTAATAAGCATTGTGTATAAGTTTCATAACATTTGGTTGAGGCAAACTAAAGTTAGAGAACAGAAACGAAAAATTCAGCAATTTTTCCATTTGTAAAGGGGGATAACTCTACAACGGGTTAATTGTCACCATCTTAATTCAAACTTGATCTGTATTTTGTGGTAATAAGCATTGTGTTAGTTTCATAACATTTGGTTGAGGCAAACTAAAGTTAGAGAACTTAAACAAAAAAATCAGCAATTTTTCCATTTGTAAAGGGGCATAACTCTACACCAGTTTATGTGACGCCACAAAAATTCAAACTTGATCTGTGTTTTGCGGTAATAAGCATTGTGTATAAGTTTCATAACATTTGGTTGAGGCAAACTAAAGTTAGAGAACTTAAACAAAAAATCAGCATTTTTTCCATTTTTAAAGAGGCATAACTCTACAACAGTTTAAGTGACGCCACCAAAAATTCAAACTTGATCTGTGTTTTGTGGTAATGAGCATTGTGTATAAGTTTCATAACATTTTGTTGAGGCAAACTAAAGTTAGAGAACGGAAACCAACTTTGGGACGTACAGACGTACGTACGTACGGACAGACAAGGGTAAAACTTAATGCCCCCTCCACTACAGCAGGGGCATAAAAATGTAGACATATGAAGACATAAAATATTTTACCTTTGAAATGTGCCAAGTTTATCGAGATTTATAAAAAGATATTTACTTTCAAGTATTTTAGATTTATATATTTGTAATAAATGTCATTGCATGATTACTTTAAAGAAATTGGGGATTATAAAGTCTTATTTTTTTTTTCTTTTTTCAAAAAGTTTTTTGATAACAAATGCATATTAACTAACAAGTTAAAACAAAAAAGAAAAACAACCAAACAAAATGAGCATGACGCTATCTTTTTACGTTACTGCAAATGTTTTTTAGTGGGTTATTTAAAAATTTTAATGAATTAGTTTATGTAACAATCAAAGAGTAGAAATGTTTAATATTGTAAATATTTTAATTGACAGGAAAACAGGAATTACTTTCTTTATTATTATTTAAACTAGAGGCTCTCAAGAGCCTGTGTCGCTCACCTGTATTTACTGATGCTTTGGAAATCATGTAAAATAAGGTTAAAATCATAATTAATAGTATTAGATATTAGATATTATAATGATATCTAAGATAATAACAAAAAACTGCAAAATTTTTGTAAAATTACTAACTCAGGGGCAGCAACCCAACAACAGGTTGTCGGATTCGTCGGAAAATTTCAGGGCAGATAAATCTAAATCTGATGAACATTTTTGCCACCTGTCAGATTTGCTCTAAATGCTTTAGTTTCAGAGATATAAACCAAAAACTGCATTTTACCCCTATGTTCTATTTTTAACCAAGTCGGCCATGATGGTCGGACAAATTTTTTAAACTAGATACCCTAATAATGATTATGGCCAAGTATGGTTAAATTTGTCTCAGTAGTTTCAGAGAAGAAGATTTTTGTAAAAGATAACAAAAATTTACAAAAAATTGTTAAAAATTGACTATTAAGGGCAATAACTCCTAAAGGGATCGACTGACAATTTTGGTCACGACAACTTATTTGTAGATCTTACTTTGCTGAACATTATTGCTGTTTACAGTTTATCTCTATCTATAATAATATTCAAGATAATAACCAAAAACTGCAAAATTTTCTTAAAATTACCAATTCAGGGGCAGCAACCCAACAACAGTGTGTCAGATTTGTCTGAAAATTTCAGGGCAGATAGATCTTGACCTGATAATCAGTTTTATACATGTCAGATTTACTCTAAATGCTTTGGTTTCAGAGATATAAGCCAAAATCTACATTTTACCCCTATGTTCTATTTTTAGCCATGGCGGCCATCTTGGTTGGTTGGCGGGGTCATCGGACACATTTTTTAAACTAGACACCCTAATGATGATTGTGGTTAAGTTTGGTTAAATTTGGCCCAGTGGTTTCAGAGGAGAAGATTTTTGTAAAAAGCTAACGACGACGACGACTGTGCAGGCTTTTCTCGCTGTGTTCAAGACCCATTGGTGTCCTTGGGCTGTTTTTTTTCTTGCTCTTTGACACATTCCCCGTTTCCATTCTCTATTTTATGCAAATTGTAAATTTGTTAGAATAAATCCAGTCCTCTATATATACTCAAGATTAATGTGGCCATCATAGAGCGGAATATAAAGAGTGAATTGTTCTGGTTACTTGGTAAGTATATCCCACAACAACCGGTCTGTTCATATATTTCCGTGAACACGAATATGACCGGAAAGTTTCAGTGATTTCATTGACGATAGGCAGTAATGCAGATTAAACCTTTGAACTGGCGTTGTTGTTATTCCTGTCAATATAATACTTCCATGGTTAACCTAAGTTTAACAGTACAAAAGTTAGGAGTTGGACACCAAATAAACAAGGATTTACTATAAAAGAGGTCAAAGTCAAGGTCAGAGTTTAATGGTACAAAATTTATGTAACGGACAAAAAGCAGGAGAGATTATCAGAAAGACAGACAGACAGAAGGATGGAAAAACAGACAGAGGGACAGACACATGCACTGTGATGTGTCGCATTTCTAAATTTGTTCTCAAAATAGTTTAAAATCAAACCCACTTTTTTCAATAAAAATAAATAACAATAGATCAGAGATTTGCTAAGCTGCATATCCAAGTACAAACTAACTATCATTTTGTTCCATGCTACGATGATGTATGATCCAAGTATGAAAGTAAACTTTTTCATCCACGTATGAAAGTAAACTTTTTGATCCACTTATTAAAGTAAACCTTTTGTTCCACATATGAATGTTCACTATTTCCTGTACCTGAACAAGATCACAATTAATCATCTTTAGGTTTAATGATAGCTGAACAAATGATCTGTCAAACATGAAATGCAGCATTATCCAAATGAATGAAGGTCTGGATGAGGGTTCCTTCATTTCTCTATTCTGTAATGTTTGATGCCATTTTTCTCTATTCTTTATATTTTTTGCCCATTATTCTCTATTCTTTAAATTTTAGCACCTCATTATTCTCTATTTTTTTTTCATTTTTCTCTTTTCTTTATATTGTTTGTCCATTATTCTCTATTCTGTAAACCCCCATCCACACCCTCATGAATGTATGAATATTTACACCTTCTGCTTACCCAAGTCTTGCCTAAGCTGCTCTAGAAAAGCTCCCCTGCCTGGACCCTGATTTCTCTGTGGTGATGTCTCTCGACCTGTTGGTTTTCTATTTTCTTTAAGATATGTAGATACCAACCCATATAATAAAGGTCTGTAAAGTAAAATAGAATTTATTCAGTAAATTAAACTAGAACAATATACCTTAATTTTCACAAGGGTTTATTTTACCTAAATTCACATAAATACAAGATTGCAAAAACTTTCCCAAGCATGAATCTGATCTATAAGGAAGACATTGGTTTTATAGAGCTGTAAATCTCCTGAACTGATATTTACTCCTTGTTCCTTACATGCTTACTTGGTTAAGACTTTAAGGATTTAGAGCCTGACCTGTCCTAAGTCAGGAACCTGTTGTTCAGTGGTTGTCGTTTGTTGATGTGGTTCATAAGTGTTTCTCATTTCTCGTTTTTTATATAGATTAGACATTTGGTTTTCCTGTTTAAATGGTTTACACAAGTCATTTTTGGGGCCCTTTATAGCTTGCTGTTGGGTGTGAGCCAAGGCTCCGTGTTGAAGGCCGTACTTTGACCTATAATGGGTTACTTTTACAACTTTTGACTTGGATGGAGGGTTGTCTCATTAGCACTCATACCACATCTTCTTACATCTATGTACACTGTATTGTATACCTGTCTATTGTTGTAGACTGAATGTTGCCCACAAAATGCATTGGTAATTTTTGTTGTTTGGTTGATGTCTAATGAAAATATACTCACATCTTATTTTATTCATATTAGATTAATCTTTTATAATTCCACTGTTTGGAGAGTAAAAGAAGACAGATTGTTGAGTTTCAAAAAACATCCCTACATACATATTATGCATATTTTCAATAGTCTGTCCAAAGTCTGGAACTTCTTCACTAGTTTTTTTTGATAAGTATATAAATTTCTGCATGGATTCATATATGTGATCGTTGAAAAAACGACAAACATTAGAGATTAATCATTGCAATTTCGGGAACTGCTGCATAGAAATAATGGTTTTAAAATTTTAGTTTTCATTTTACAAACCCCATCTGTTGCAATTTTTGCAATATAAAATCATATAATTGGAGTTTATAGACTTCACAGTATATTCACATTTTATGTAAAGCAATTATAAGCTTGATGTATATTGAAAAGGCACAAGCTGGACTATACACTGTACATCTCAAGTTGAGTGTTGTTTTGTTGTTGGGTTGTTGTGATTAAAGTTTGTCCCACATTTCCTTTAATTACTATTTCAATGGATTTTTAGTTCTAAGAACCACAAATTTTGTTCACTTTTTTTTGGTCAGTGTTTTTTTTTTTTTTTTTTTTTTTTTTTTTTCATCTTTTAAACATTTTAAATAGTGACCAAATGTTGGTAACTTTTGAAAATTTGAGATCACAGACAAAAGTTGTGTGATGAGGTAATAGCTGTACCATACACAATTTTTATCCATTCTTATTGAAAACTATTAGGCATTCAGGTTTGATAAAAATTCCATCATATAATCTTATTAATTATTATTTTGATCATCTAAATTTCATATAAGTATAAAGACAATAGAGGATTTTGGATTTGCAATAGGTTTATTATGGGGCCCCAGTAGGGTACCCACAAGGTTGTGCTTGAAAATTACCTCAGGTCACGGGGCACTTTTAAGCAAATTTGACAGGTTTAACAATACACATTTCTTAAAGGTCAAATGAGCCGTCATGTAGCAAGATCCCCTGCCAGATCCTCCCCCCCCCCCCCCCACCCCCCCACGAGATCGCAGGTCAGATTTGACAATGTTGGAGCTGCTGTTATGTTTTGTATAAGTAGCAAGCACGCCACAGTTAGAAAATAAAATTAAAATTGAACCACAAAATGTTTATTCATCTTCTATTCCTGGCTTGATAATACATTAAGCCAACTGTTTGTGTCATACATTAGCATATGTATGTAATCAGTATCTTCCATAGATTTGGTTTTCAAAAGTTAAAATGGTGAAATATAATTCCTTTTTTGTGTATCCATGGCAACCTTCTGCATTTATTTACCATAAAATATTGCAAAAAGGGCTTGAAAATGTCACACATGCCCTCAAAATTTGGTTCAAACTAGAATTTCAAAACCTTTTAGGGATACATTTTCTGAAACTATTGACATTAATCTACCAAATGATCAAATAAAAATTGTATTTCATTCGCCTCCTTTTCTCGTAAAATTGATAATCACAAAGTTCGTGCGACAAAAAGTTGGAAAAAAACATTACAATAATTTCCAAACCAATGTCTGGAATGGATATGAATATATGGACTGTCATACAGAAAACAGCCCATAATACATACATTACACGATCTTTATCATGTTTGTTGATGTTCCTTTGAGCCCACTATGAAGGCTATATTAATCTTCAGTTATCCAAAAATGTATTGTATTTCACACTAGCTTTCATATTTGAAAAATCCACAGGGATGCGAAACTACACACCTAACCATGCTAACTGTGGGGGTGCTACCTAAAGAACAAATTTAAAGCAGCAATTTTTTTCAAAGTCAAAATTTCCATATTATTATTGTACATACACAATGTATTGTAGCAATTAAGATCAGTTTTTAAGTGTTCACAAGAAAGTTTGATACAACATCAATGGCAACAAGTTGAATTGCCTGCCCTACATGCCCTAATATCAACAGGATTTGACAGAATAGCATTAAATCTAGAACAAATTACAATGAAATTCAAAGATTGAATGCACTTAAAATAAATAAAAACAAAAAAACACCCACACTGAGCTAGAATTCCTGTCTTCTCTGATATTCAGTTCTCTGCTTAAAAATCCTCTGTCTAATGGAACATTTGGTTGTCCTGACTCTGAAAAAAAAGTTATATCATAAAACATGATTTAAATTCATAGCTTTTCCATTTGTTGTTTTCCTTATCTTTTCAGATGTGGATGAGTTGGTTGATGTTGATATCATACATGTATGATACAAGCCCTGTGGTAGCGAACAATAAATTTATCCTAAAAAGAGACATCACAGGCCTATTCAAAGTAATTTCCTGAAGGACTGTTATTCGTGAAGACTTTGTGTATAATATAGGTTTTGTGAAGACTGTGTGTATACTATAGGTTGTGTTTAGACTGTGTGTATACCATAGGTTGTGTGTAGACTGTGTGTATACCATAGGCTGTGTGTAGAATGTGTGTATACCATAGGTTTTGTGAAGACTGTGTGTATACTAATAACTATATTTAGGTTAGGTGTCCAATGTTTTTGATAATTTCAGTTACCTACAAATCTTATTTGTCTGTCATTTTCAAAAAGACATTAGTATGTCTGATATAAGGATTTGTATTTTTGAAATATTCCACTCCAAATAACATTGAATGAATAAGATGTTTTGCCTTAAGCATGTTAAGATGTCTGCAATAAGACAATTTTGAAAGTGACACATTTTTTTTGGTCAGGTTGTTTTAAATTAAAACTTTTAATACTTAATTTTACCAAAACATTTTTATTCAATTACTTACACAAGCATAAGAGATACTGATAAAATACTTTCTAATATTCTTATCAACCATGTCAAATGCTTAAATTTGATATATGACATTTCCACTTTAATTCATACATAGTAATATATATAATAAATTTTTATTTACAAAGGATCTATAGATGCAAGTATATATCTTATATTTCAGTAGCTGTTCAACCTCTCCTTTCTTAATTCAATGGCAAATAACATGTCAAAAGTACACCCTATAGCTATTCATTTCATATGCAACCATAATTTCCTTCTTTAGGATAGTAAGTGGTTCAAATATATGCCAAATGAGACTAAAACTACATGCAAGTTTTCCATTGAAAAGTGAAAAACTGGTCATCAAACCATACTGTCTGCAAAAAAAAGTTGAATTCAAGAGTCCTTTTGCAATTAGACTTCTTGTATCATGACATCTTAGCATAGAAATGAGCAAAAAGTAACAAATTTCAATTTCTTATAGCCTCTGTGTGCATTTTTATATGTAAATATGGGCTACGGCCTAAATCGACTCTAAATAATTCTCAGTCTTACATGGCCTAAGACCATTTTATACTCATGTGGTATGGTTTTTGTAACTTTTCTTTACATTTAAAGTACATTTAATATATATGGAAGAATAATGTATGGTTAAAAAACTTCAAAAACTTCAAATTGGTTGAAAAAAATGCATGTTTATGTAAGGCTTCCCTTAATTCGAAAATCTCTATTTTCAGGCACAGGCTCATATAAATTTGACTTTTGAATAACTGTAATAAATCTGATAAATCAAATGAGTGTTCCGTTGCTTTTAATACTTATTATATTAAATTCAAGAGTATTTAAAAAGCAAATTTTTGCAATATTTAAATTTTTTAGGCCAAAATCTTGACAGTTGAAAATATTTGATTTAAACGTCAAAAATAAACATCCAAATTTCAATATTAAAATGGCTCTAGTTTCTATAATATATATCCTATGGCCATGAAACTTGGCCAACTATCTTATAACTGCCTAAGCTTAGTTCATGCAAAGTTTTATTAAAATTGGTCAAGTCTTTCTATCCTATTAGGTCCAAGGACACAGTTATCGTCCTTTGGTTTTCGTTGTCTACGAATATAGTCCCTAGTGTGAACAGTGTATAACTTGCATTTTTTTTTTGATACACTTTCCCAATTTATTTCTTGATATTTTATGCATGAAATATTAAGTAAGGGGATGAAATTACATGTTAAAAAAATTTGGGTGCTGAATCTTTATGTTAAGTAGTGATTTGGTCCAGTTAAAAAAGGTCAAAAATTAGAATGTCTGAAGCTGTCAAACTGAATTTTAGCCCCCCTTAACACAGAATTGTCAATATTTTGAGTAAGAGCTGGTAGAAGTTTCTATAATTTTGATATTATTTGTATCAATAGTAGTACACTACACTGTAAAAATCTTTTTGAGATAGAGCAGGTGCGATTTTTTTAATTTGAATTTATTGTCTAAAAGAGATGCACTACGAAATAACTGTGTTCTCGGGCCAGTAGATGATTAAAATGGTGTATATACATTTTTGTACTTTCTGCAAGTCATAAAAACTATACTAAGACATGCATGACATGCTTATTCATGATATGTCTTCAACTCAGAATTCTGCACCATCTTAAAATTTGAAGTAGTCACATATACATGACATAGATCCAATATGGCTGGATAAAAAACATTTGTATAAGTATTACTCCTCTCTGTATGGTAAATTTGTAATACTTAGCATGTATTTAATTAAAATTACTAAATAAGGCAATAGAAAACTTGTTGATTCTCATATCCCTGCCTGACCTGATTATTTAGAACAAATAATCTTTATCTTGATTTCTGATCTCCTTTGCTATAAGTTTTCACAAATTATGGCAAAAAAATAAAAAAAGTTTTTTTGCCTTCAATCATGTCAATATGTCTAATTAAGAAGATGTCAAATTATTGCCAATGAAACACCTCTCCACCAGAGATCAAATTACGTAGGAGTTTAGGCAACTCTTGGTTATCATACCACCTTTAACAATGAGCAAAACTCACACCGCAAAGCAAGCTATAAAAGGACCCAAAATGACAAATGTAAAACAATTCAAACGAGAAACTTATGACCTAATTTACATCAACAACAAAAATGTATGTACAAATCAAGCTCATTAAAAAAATTATTGGATGAAAATCTATTAAGTTTTGATGTCAGAAAGACCTAATTAATTGTAAAGTACTTACCAGCTACCAACACTGATGATGAATATCTGTACTTGTTAAAATCAAGATACTCTCTGATTAGTTCATTTATAATCAAATTTTCATTGCTAAGTTGAGGTTTACTTTCACTTTCGTCATTCAGTGCATTAAACACCTCAGCTCTTATCCTTGCTTTTATCTGTCCTAAAGTTCCTTTATTCTCTAATGTATCTTTAATGACTATAAATGAATAAACATGTAATATTAAAATAGAAAAATAATATGATTCCATAAACGGCATAGCAGGCATACACATATCTTAAGACTATTTTCATATTACCAACTATCAAAGACTTTTGACTCTGGATTATGAAAGAAACTTATACATGTACATGTAGCTGAAATACAACACCTAGTAAACATGTGCTTTGTGGCCTGTTTTTTTTTTGGTTATTCATTGTTGCTGTGCCAATGTCATTGAGACAAGTTTAATAGACATTACGGTATATTTCACCTTTTTTTTTTTACAATTCTCAAATGAATTAACTTGCCTGTGATATATATCATCATGACATTGACTATTTATTTCTTCAAAACAATTCACAAAACACTAAGGGAAACCTGTTTACCTTTTAATAAATCTCTTTATTTTAAAACAATAAAAAAAATTATTATCTTTATTTTTATAGCAATGTGAATGTGCAGAGGGGCAAACATCAAATGAGTGAACATGAATTTGGGGAACGCACCCATATTCCACAATTTATGATGTTATAATATAAGGTAGTTTGTTCCAGTCGGTTTTGTTCCTGAGAAACCTATTCTTTTCTGTACTGTATTTTGGAAACTGTTCAGATTTTATGTCTTGTTAGTGGGAATAATTGTTTTAACAGTTTATCAAATAACATGACCAGACAGGTTCTTCACTAGTCCATCTTCCTTTACAGCTTTGTTTAAAATATCACAATATGTTATCTGGTGATAATTTGTAGTACAAATTATTATGCTGACGCAAAACTGATAAAATTGCAGTTTCCTGCACTCAATTTTTCTACTTAAACCATTTACCGTCTTTTAGTTCATGTGTTGAAGACATTTTATTTACATTGGATGCGAAAAACGTAATAACCACATTAAATGATGACGTTTCCGACACTACTTTTTTTTCTAAAACTAGAAAACCGTTTCGGAGAATTCATGAACATTTCCGGACAAAATATCCGATGCGGCTGAAAAGTTTTCTAAATGGTTTTGTTATGGAATGTAAGGACCAGAGACATTTAAACAATGTATTATATGTCTCTGGTAAGACAAATCCTTGTGGAAAGATATGCAAATTCCTAATTTTCAAGTATGTCTTTTTCGCCAGATCTAAAAAATATTCACGGCCGTTTAGGATTCTTTTCTGGTGAACGTAGGTTTGTTTTAGTCATATAGTTTAACTATATTAGTGTATAAATCTTGAACAAGAAATGCCGGTTATATTTAAAAATGTCTAAATATTTATGATGTGTAAATTAAAAAAAAAACAACAAATATTGCTATTGGAGAGGTCGGTCGTTGTTCTAGAATCAATATATAAGGTGTAAAACTGTGAATCCCAGAAACATATAAGCCGACCAAACCGGGGTACACATTTTAAAGACCCTAACTGATGAGTTTAAATGTGTCTGGCTCATGAGTTTTGAGGCCGGATCCCAAGATTATTAAGTTTTTAAACTACTATCTAAACTGAAAAGACAAGAATTCTTACAAGTATAATAGTTGATCGCCAGTTTTACAAATCTAATTATAGTGAACGATACTTTATTACAATAATACTATTAGGAATAAGTAGCGGGTGTGTTTGAACTAGTTTGTCGATAAATGGTATGGAACTTGGCGACTGTAAATAAATACACGAATGTACTATTTTATTGCTGGTTAAAATTGAATTATTTTACATTTGTTTTGCTTATTTACATATTTAATATATATATATATAAAAATATTAATTTTCGCGAACCATTTAGGTCACGGAAATTCCATTTTTTGCCATCAGTAAGGAGAGTTGTACAAATAATGTGAATACACAGAACCCCGATCCAATTCATCTTTTGCTAAAAATATTTATCATTTTCTGTTTTATATCTCCTAACATCATTCCATTTTTCTCTAATTTCGATTAAAATATGCCAAAACCTGCAGTAAAAATAGATGTATCCCCCAAATAAACATTCCCCGATTGGTTGAACTACTATGGCGTCAATGTAAAGCAACGCAAGCCTCGATGTAAAGCACACGCTTCCCACGAGTAAGGAGAGTTGTACAAATAATGTGAATTCACAGACCCCCGATCCAATTTATCTTTTGCTAAAAGTGTTCATCATTTTCTGTTTTGTATCTACCAACAACATTCCATTTTTCTATAATCCCGATTTAAACATGTCGAAACCTGCAGTAAAAATAGATGTATGCCCCAAGTAAACATTCCCCGATTGGTTGAAAAGCTGTGGCCTTGATCTAAAGCAACGCAAGCACACGCAAAAATTTCCGTTAATATGTTGAACTTCGACCCCGGGATTCATGCAGCCGGTTCACATAGAGATTTTCTTGCGCTCAAATATAATTCTAAGTGAAGTATACTGGTAAAGTAAAATTATATTCTTTTACAGAAATATTTACACATTTTATCATTAATGTATTGTCATGCTTCTGCATATTTACGCTGAGCTTTAGTAAAATATAATTCTATACAAATTTTTGTTACGTCAAGCATTAAGAGTAAGAATATATTTCGCGCCTAAACAATAAAAATAATCTGTGTCACCAAATAAGTCTATCAGCATCTTTCTCAAATTTTCCAACAGAAAATAGCGTTAATTATAGAGAAATTTTGGTGAGTATTACTTATTAATGTTAAGGTTCTGCAGAGGTGGTTCTCTTCACCTTCTTGGTGGTCAATTTAATCCCATTTATCAATTATCCCCGATGGCGATGACACCCAGTCAATTTGTGTCATGAGTGAAAATCTTATCTATTTGATGAAATAACTTCTTCATTAACTGTACTTGCAATATTTTTGAAGTTTTTGATAACCGTGCACATTCCCATTGCATGTCCGCAAAATAAATGGATTATGCATTTGTGAATTGTGTAAGTACAGTAATATGGTTAATGGGGAGGATAAAAATTTGTGATGGTCAGTGCGTGATCACGTGACATTATTATTTGTAAACAAACGGGCTCCCCATGTAACACGTGTCGGAACTATCCATACAAGGTGCAATCAATCTTATATTTCACTATTTGATGATATTTCTGTGTCTGTTTGCAGGTTTTGCAGATCAGATGTCATAGTGTAGTTTCATAGACAAAAAAGTACCATGATTGTTCCTGTTCAGTAGTTGTGATTTTTTTTTATAAAATTAGAAGGTAATTAAGTCTACATTAGTCATTATTTAAATTAAGTCTGAAAAAAATGACTCAACTCTCTGTGTAATTTTCCCCCAATTTTTGAAACATGCATAATTTAAAGAGCATTTGCTTCCCTTCAACCCTCTCCCCTACAAATTGCCTAAAACTCATACTCATAGTCCGAGATTACTCTGTCCAACATCTGTTTTTGCGATTCAGGCTTTTTAACTCTTTTATTTTCAAATTGAACACATTCAGCTTATTTGCATCATAAATGAACGAGGTGTTAGATTATGTTTTCCTATTGAATAAGGGTCATTTTCATAAATCAGCTCTCATAATGCATTGTAAATTACTTTTTCTGTTGGTCATGTCACAATCTTTTAAAGTTAAAGTAAAAATGCCAGTATTGATGTGTCAATGTGAAAACTGTCCAAATATGAGAAAATTAAGCGGGTGGCAGGTCGATTAAACTTACTTAAATGAAGAGAAAAATGAACTAATTGAGGCTCGATTTATAAAGATTATGTTTTCCTATTGAATAAGGGTCATTTGCATAAATCAGTTCCCATAATGTTGGTCATGTGACATTCTTATAAAGTGAAAGTTAAAATGAGGGTGGTAATGGGAGTACCTTCATGACGAATAACGGTAAAAAATCTTGCCAAATGACGTTAACGGTAATTTTTGGTGCATGATGATAAAATGAAGACTTTCTTCAAGACGATAAAAAAATCGACAGATTTTGACGAATCACGTTAATTTTTTGCCAAAAATATCGGTAACGATAATTATTTGAGACCTCTGACGAATCACGATAAGGATATGTTGACGAATCACGGTAAAATGTTAACATATTTGACGCTAACGGTAGCCGAAAATTACCGTTAGACGCCTGACGGTAAAGGGTATTCATACCCTCTAAAATGTCCGTATTGATGGCAGAGGCGGATTTAGGGGGGGGGGGGGGGGGGCAGGGGGCCCGGGCCCCACTTTTGTGGGAACAATTTGGTTGATTATATAGGGAACCACTGAAGCATGACTGGAGCGGGCCCCTCTTATGAAAATTTCTGGATCCGCCACTGGATGGGTCAATGTGAAAACTGTCCAATTATGAGAAGATAACGGGTGGCAGGTTGATCAAACTTACTTAAATGAAGAGAAAAATGAATAAATTGAGGCTTGATTTTCATGTTAACGCCCATTAACTCTAAAAATGCTTTGTTCACTAACTCTTCAACGCTTTCACCAATTTGCATGAAACTGTTGTGAATTGATTATTTTCCCGTTTCAGAGTTATATGGGATTATATTCTGACATGTATTAATGTGAGCTCCCTTTAAAGTTTAGATTGTTTTGGAATTTTAGAATTTACATTAACCAGTTACAATGTAAGGGGTTTTATTCATTCAAAAAGGGTGATTTCCATGTTTTCGGACATTAACTCGAAAATGCTTTAAGCAGTTGTCATTTGTCATGAAACTTTGGTTAATTGTTTATATATATTTATTGATGCAAGCTCCCTTTCAATTTAATAAATTGTGGAATTTTATTTATATAAAAGGATGGCTTTCCCAGTTTGCAGATCAAATTCAAAAGTTTGTACTTGCACTTCTCTGGCATGTTTCAGTAAATGTGTAAATTATAACTGACATAACTAACTTTGACAATGACCACATATTTTTAAGTTTAATGTACATGAAATATACAAGGTAAGGCATGTAGACTCGATACTGCTGCAAGGTTATACAGAGTTGTCAATGAAAAAAAAAATTTGTTTGCCAACTTAGTGTTTCCTTCAGAAGGTTTTGGTGTGGTATGACACCCTGTCATTTTTATACGCCCGTTTACGGGACGTACTATGGTATACCATTGTCCGTCTGTCTGTCCGTCGTCAACATGTCGGACATTAACTCAAAACCGCTTTAACTAATTTGCATAAAACTTTGGTGAATTGTTTATATCTATTGACATGAGCTCCCTTTCGTTTTTTATAAATTTTAGATTTTACGTTTCTGACTAAAATTAGGTGGAGGTATGTTCTTATTTCTGACACAGGGGTACTCAACCTATATCAATTTGTGCATGAAGCGATTGATAGTTGCTAGATACTGAATAATTTTACCACAAATTTGTGAAAGTTTTAACCAGTGTATATACTTAAAATATGTTAATAAAGTTCATGCCTTCAGGACTTCTGATCCAACCATGTAGTATGGCATGTTTGTGAGATATGGTTTTGACCAGTAGGATGTTCATGAAGGATCTGTAGTACAAAGTATATCACTGGATTGAGCTCATTGTCTAAGTGTATTATTAAAGTGCTTTGCTTTGAGCTCAGTTCATTGTTCTGCAATTCATTCTTTGTGAAATAAAGATTTGACAGACAACTCTCGTGTACAAGGAATTGTCAAAGTAGTATCCATTCTATGTACAATGTAAGTAATTGGGAGATAAAAGCATTTTATTTAGATTTGAACCAAACATGTTTTGTCCATTAGCCACACTAAAAAAAAAAGCACAAATTCACCAAACAATGCTACTGGCGCTACTAGCAATATGATGCTAGGTTCTTTTGTTACACTTTATTTTTATGCCCCCGCCGTAGCGGAGGGGGCATTACGTACGTACGTCCCAAAATTGGTTTCCGTTCTCCAACTTTAGTTTGCCTCAACCAAATATTATGAAACTTATACACAATGCTTATTACCACAAAACACAGATCAAGTTTAAATTTTGGTAGCGTCACT